TCGCCCGGAACTGGAGCTCAGAGCTTGAGACTCCCTCCCGATTGAAAACGACAACTGCGCCCTTAGCCGCCAGCCCGCTCTGCGTGCTCCTCTGTACCTTAATATTTTACTTCCGCACTGCACCTCCTCTGAGTCTTGGTATGCTTTTCTCTTTCCTTCTAGTTGTAGAATTTCCCCTCAGCCAGCCTTCCTGTGGTTCTGGGTGATGTCTGTTCCATCTTTTAGTGTATTTTTGAAGTGGTTGTGCGAGACAGCAATCTCTGGTGTTTACCTATGACGCCATTTTGGTTTCTCTCAGTACTTCATTTCTTTTCATTGCTGCATAATATTCCATCATATGGATGTACCACACTTTGTCTATTCATCAGTTAAGACACATCTGTGTCATTTCTACCTTATGGCTTTTATGAATAATGTTGCTATGAACATTCACATACAGCATTTTGTGTGGACACATTATCCCTTTTTACAGATAAGGAAACAGGTTTACAGAATGGAACGCTCTAGCTAAGCTCCCTCAGCTGGTGAGAGGAGGACCAGGCTGGCTGTCCCAATCTAGAGTCCTTGTTTCTCCCCACCCAGGAGCTGAGCTAAATGCTGTGACAGAGCTAGGTCGGGACATAAAGGAATGAGGGGTTGACTTTATGGAAGAAGGGTTGACAGCTTCCCCCAGCCTTGAAGGAGGAGTAGGAGAGGGAAGAACATTGCAGGTGGAGAAACAGCAAGTGCAAAGGCCTAGAGGTGTGAGGCTGCCTGGTGTCTGGGAGCCACAAGGAGTTCTGTGTTATTAGAGCAGAGGGCTGGGGGCGGAAAAAGCAGAGAAAGGCACAGTGGGTGACAGGGTTGGAGACACAGGCACAGGATAGATTTATAAGGCCTTTGTATCCTACTTTCTTGAGGAAACTAAGCCATAAATACACATTTTTAATTAAGCATATATCAGTGAGAGTAGATTTATTTCAAAACTATTTCTAGCCAGTGAGTAATATTTTCATCTGCCTCATCGAAAGACATGGCCACATTACATGGTTCCATAAATATGGTCATTTTCATTTCAATTATTGTAACTCAGGAAAACTAGATGGTTTCTGAGTTTCTCCCTTAAAGGACTTGTACATTGGTTTGTGTGTACCTCTATAGTAGGGATGATATTGATATACTAGGGGCCCAGTGCACAAATTCATGCACCTTGAAAGGAACTATGGGCTGCAAGGCTGCGGTGGACACAGGGGCGGGTCTCAGCCCATCCTCCATGCCCCCGCCCGGTCCCTCCCACTGCGGCCCCGCCCCCCGCCCCCCCTCAGCAGCCCTGCTCCCGCTGCTCCTGCCACTCCTCCCATGCGCTGACAGCACTGGCCCTGCTCGCACCTGCTGACGGCTCGAAGCCATTGGGGCCGGCACCAGCAGCAGGTGCAAGCGCCTGGTGGGACCACGGCACATAGGAGCAAAGAATTTTCAGTAACCATCAGAGGCTCGCCCCATGACAGTGACCAGCGCCCCACCTTGGTCTGGTGCCCCTGCTCACTTGCTCCATCATCCCGCCCTGGCTGACACCCGCAATGTTCTGCGCACGCCCCCTGGTGGTCAGCACAAGTCATAGCAACTAGTTGTTCGGTTGTTCTGCTGTTCGGTCTATTTGCATATTAGGGTTTTATATATATAGACTAGAGGCCCCATGCACGAAGATTCGTGCAAGAATAGGCCCTCCTTCCTCTGGCTGCCAGCACCGGTTTCCCTCCAGCACCCAGGACCCAGGCCTTCACTCTGGACACCGCCTCCCGCCTTCACTCTGGTGCCAGGAGCCGCCATCTTTGTCATGTTAATTTGCATATACCCTTCTTATTGGCTGTGGGCGCTGCCATCTTTGTTGCTAAGTGATGGTCAATTTGCATATTCCATTTTTATTAGATAGGATATGTTGCTACCTATTTAAGAATAAGTCTGCCTGGCCAATGTGGCTCAGTGGTTGAGCATCAACCTATGAACCAGGAGGTCACAGGTTCAATTCCCAGTCAGGGCACATGCCCAGGATTGTGGACTCCATCCCCAGTTTGGGGTGTGCAGGAGGTAGCTGATCAGTGATTTTCTCTCACCATTGAGGTTTCTAGCTCCCTCTCCTACTCCCTTCCTCTTTGAAGTTATATATATATATATATATATATATATATATATATATATATATATCCATTTCATGTTGACACTAGGCCACCAATTATCGTCCTTCTGCCCAGTGCATTGAGTTGGTGGTAGGGGGTTCGTGTCCATGTAGATCTTTGATAATTCAGTAGGATGTGGTTCTACCAGGTCCTTTTAAGGTTTGGGTTTTTAGTAGGTGCAGCTGATGTGGTGTCCATTTCACACAGGAAGCTTTAGGAAATGTTAGTCATAAACCACATATTTTGAGAAACTGTTTTGCCTATGAGAAGAATACTGTTGAAATAAAACATGATTTTCCCAGAAACGAAAGCTTTGTATATGGATCAGGGTGATTCTGAAAGTTAAAAGTGTAAATGTTAGAATGTTATGTTATTGTTAATTGTACTATGTTACGTATTCAATAGGCAATCCTGGCTTATCAATAAAAATTCCCATCTTGGGGAGGGGAAAAGCCTTGAACGCCATACTAAGCACATGGACTTGATCCTGAAGAAGGGGGAGCCCAGATGGGCACCAAGGTCCTGTGGAGTCAGACAGATCTAAGGCAAATCCCAGTTCTGCTTGCAGGAGGCCTTTGCTTTAGTTTTGCGATCTGGAAAATGCAGATGACAAGAGTAATACCTTGTTTAAAGTGGGGGATTGGAGAAACCAAGATGGCGGCATAGGTTAACGCTGGAGATTGCTGCCTCGAACAACCACTTCAAAAAACAACTAAAAGACGGAACGGACATCATCCAGAACCACAGGAAGGCTGGCTGAGTGGAAATTCTACAACTAGGAGGAAAGAGAATATCATATCCAGACTCAGAGGAGGCGCAGTGCTGAAGTGAAATACTAAGGTGCGGAGTGCATGTGGAGCGGGCTGGAGGTGGAGGGCGCGGTTGTTGTTTTCAATCAGGAGGAAGTTTCAGACTCTGAGCTCCAGATCCGGGCGAGTCTCTAGGGACCCAGACTCAAACGGGAGAAGCGGGACTGTCTGGCTTCGGTCGGAACTCGAAGGCAGCTTTCTCTCCGAGGTTTGCAGCGGTTGCTGGGACTCTGTAAGGCAGAGCTCCTAGGGACGGAACTGAGAGCAGCCATAACAGCTCGCTCCGGCCGCCCTGTAGATCCCCGGGGACCCGCCCCGCCCAAGCCCTGCGCAGAGCCATTTGCCAGATAGCCTCAGGCAAATGCTAGATTAGCATCACCCTAGAGATCCAGCACAGAAGCTCTCCCACTGCAGACACAGCAAACTCTCATAGCCAGTTAGCTTGGAGGTCAAATCACCCCCGGTATTGCTGACAACAATCAAGGCTTAACTACAACAAGACTGCGCACAAAGACCACTAGGGCATGCACCAAGAAAGCATAAAAAATGCGGAGACAAAGAAACAGGACAAAACTGTCAATGGAGGATATTGAGTTCAGAACCACACTTTTAAGGTCTCTTAAGAACTGTCTAGAAGCCGTCAACAAATGTAGTGAGATCCTCAAGAAATCTAATGAGACCCTCGATGTTATGATAAAGAACCAACTAGAAATTAAGCATACAGTGACTGAAATAAAGAATATTATACAGACACCCAACAGCAGACCAGAGGAGCGCAAGAATCAAGTCAAAGATTTGAAATGCGAAGAAGCAAAAAACACCCAACCGGAAAAGCAAAATGAAAAAAGAATCCAAAAATGCGAGGATAGTGTAAGGAGCCTCTGGGACAGCTTCAAGCGTACCAACATCAGAATTATAGGGGTGCCAGAAGATGAGAGAGAGCAAGATATTGAAAACCTATTTGAAGAAATAATGACAGAAAACTTCCCCCACCTGGTGAAAGAAATAGACTTACAGGTCCAAGAAGCGCAGAGAACCCCAAACAAAAGGAATCCAAAGAGGACCACACCAAGACTCATCATCATTAAAATGCCAAGAGCAAAAGACAAAGAGAGAATCTTAAAAGCAGCAAGAGAAAGAAACTCAGTTACCTACAAGGGAATACCCATACGACTGTCAGCTGATTTCTCAACAGAAACTTTGCAGGCCAGAAGGGAGTGGCAAGAAATATTCAAATTGATGAATGCCAAGAACCTACAACCAAGATTACTTTATCCAGCAAAGCTATCATTCAGAATTGAAGGTCAGATAAAGAGCTTCACAGATAAGGAAAAGCTAAAGGAGTTCATCACCACCAAACCAGTATTATATGAAATGCTGAAAGATATTCTTTAAGAAGAGGAAGAAGAAGAAAAAGGTAAAGATAAAAATTATGAACAACAAATATGCATCTATCAACAAGTGAATCTAAGAATCAAGTGAATAAATAATCTGGTGATCATAATAGAATCAGGGACATAGAAAGGGAATGGACTGACTATTCTTGGGGGGATAGGGGTGTGGGAGATGCGGGAAGAGACTGGACAAAAATCGTGCACCTATGGATGAGGACAGTGGGTGGGGAGTGAGGGCGGAGGGTGGGGCGGGAACTGGGAGGAGGGGAGTTATGGGGGGAAAAAAGAGGAACAAATGTAATAATCTGAACAATAAAGATTTAATTAAAAAAAAAAATAAAGTGGGGGATTGAGTTCCCACCTCTGGAGAGCTCATCTCAGCACGTGGCCCTGGAAGGGGTCTGGCTGCAGAGTGACTGGTGGGGGCAGACTGTTGTCCAGGGAAGGGGGCCCGAGACGTCAGTGGGGATGGAGAACCATGGCTGGTTTAAGAAGGTTTAGGAGATGCCTCGTGCAGACTCTGAGACTTGGAGAATTGCTTGTGAAGAATATCTAACTTCTGAGCTTTTTGTGAGTCCCTGGGCCTGGTGCCAAACCACCCAGGGGCTGGCTTGATGGTCCCCCTCCGTTCCTCCCTGCAGCTCGCTTGCGGACGCCATGCGGTGGGCTCTGACGCCCCTGTTGGTGCAGCCGCCTCTGCTGCTCCTGCTGGTGCTGGGGTGCGGGCCACCGGCGGCCACCGGCGGCGGGGCCGGAGGGGCAGCGGGATACGCGCCGGTGCAGTACGTGCAGCCCATGCACAAAGGACCCGTGGGGCCGCCCTTCCGCGAGGGCAAGGGCCAGTACCTGGGTGAGTACCTCCCCACCCGCTGCACAGGGCCTCGGACAGCGGCGATCCCCCACCCCCCTGCCTCCCGACCTCCATCCCAGGCTCCTCTCAGGCACCGACGCCCGCCCCGCTCCCGCTCCAGATCACAGCCGGTCAATCACCACCTAAGAGCCCACATCCACTCTCTTTCTGATGCTGGCCCAGGGCCTCCCACCCCCGAGGGCCTGGAGATGCTGGCGGGCAGCGAGGGTCTGTAGCGGAGTAGGGGAGGGGCGGGGATTGTGGGCTGCGATGCTGCGCCGACCGGCTCTACGGAGGGCTGCTGGCGCCACCTGGCGGCCATTCCACTCCCGGGCATGCAAGAATGAGGCTCCCAACCGGGGTAGGTTGGATGCTAGGAGCTCTGGGTGAGGAAACCCTGACGCCCCCAAGATTGCCAATGGGCCCCCCGAAACTCCATCTTCTGTCAGAGCAGGGAAGGGGAGAGCAGGGCGTGGTCTTCACGAGCAGATACAGATCCTTGTCTTCTCCCAGTGCACCCCGTGCTGCTGTGGGGGGGAGTGGGTAGAAGGGTCCTCGGTCCCACTGACCAGGCCCCTGACTGCGCCTTCTCTCTCTCTCTCTCTCTCTCTCTCTCTCTCTCTCTCTCTCTCTCTCTCTCTCTCCCCCCCCCTCTCTCAGAAATGCCTCTACCGCTGCTGCCGATGGATCTGAAAGGAGAGCCTGGCCCCCCTGGGAAACCCGGGCCTCGGGGGCCCCCTGGTCCTCCTGGCTTCCCAGGCAAACCAGGCACTGGGAAGCCGGGGCTACATGGGCAGCCTGGCCCTGCCGGCCCCCCAGGCTTCTCCCGAATGGGCAAGGCTGGTCCCCCAGGGCTCCCGGGCAAGGCTGGGCCACCAGGGCAGCCAGGGCTTCGGGGGGAGCCAGGGATACGAGGGGACCAGGGCCTCCGAGGCCCCCCAGGGCCCCCTGGCCTCCCTGGACCCTCAGGCATTGCTGTTCCTGGGAAACCAGGCCCTCAGGGGGTCCCAGGGCCCCCAGGATTTGGGGGGGAGCCAGGGCCCCAGGGGGAGCCTGGGCCCCCAGGTGATCGAGGTCTCAAGGGGGATAATGGGGTGGGCCAGCCAGGGTTGCCTGGGGCCCCAGGGCAGGGGGGTGCCCCTGGACCCCCTGGCCTCCCTGGCCCAGCTGGCTTGGGCAAACCAGGTTTGGATGGGCTTCCTGGGGCCCCTGGAGATAAGGGCGCGTCTGGCCCTCCCGGGGTACCAGGACCCAGGGGGGAGCCAGGGGCATTGGGCCCAAAAGGGCCCCCTGGGATGGATGGTATGGGGATTCCAGGGTCAGCAGGGGTGCCAGGGCCACAGGGCCCAGCAGGGGCCAAAGGGGAACCAGGGACCCGGGGTCCCCCTGGTCTGATAGGCCCCACTGGCTATGGGATGCCAGGATTGCCAGGCCCCAAGGGGGACAAGGGCCAAGCTGGAGTCCCAGGGCTCTTGGGGGACAGGGGTGAGCCAGGTGAGGATGGGGAACCAGGGGAACAGGGCCCACAAGGCCTTGGGGGGCCCCCTGGACTTCCAGGGTCTGCAGGGCTCCCTGGAAGACGTGGGTTCCCTGGGCCTAAGGGGGAGGTAGGGCCTGGAGGACCCCCAGGATTGCCTGGCATTCGGGGTGACCAGGGGCCCAATGGGCTGGCTGGGAAACCTGGGATCCCAGGAGAGAGGGGGCTTCCAGGGGCCCATGGACCCCCTGGGCCGACTGGGCCCAAGGGCGAACAGGGTTTCACAGGTCGCCCTGGGGGACCAGGGGTGGCAGGAGCCCTGGGACAAAAGGGTGACTTGGGGCTCCCTGGGCAGCCCGGCCTGAGAGGCCCCTCAGGAATACCAGGACTCCAGGGCCCAGCTGGTCCTATCGGGCCACAGGGTCTGCCAGGCCTAAAGGGGGAACCAGGCCTGCCAGGGCCCCCTGGAGAGGGGAAAGTGGGGGAGCCTGGTGTGGCTGGGCCAACAGGCCCCCCTGGGGTCCCAGGTTCCCCAGGACTCACAGGCCCTCCTGGGCCTCCGGGGCCTCCTGGCCCACCTGGCGCCCCCGGGGCCTTCGATGAGACTGGCATCGCGGGCCTGCACCTGCCCAATGGTGGCGTGGAGGGCGCCGTGCTGGGCAAGGGTGGCAAGCCGCAGTTTGGGCTGGGAGAGCTGTCGGCCCACGCCACGCCTGCCTTCACCGCGGTGCTCACCTCACCCTTTCCTGCCTCCGGCATGCCTGTTAAGTTTGACCGGACTCTCTACAATGGCCACAGTGGCTACAACCCGGCTACCGGCATCTTCACCTGCCCTGTGGGTGGGGTCTACTACTTTGCTTACCACGTGCATGTCAAGGGCACCAATGTGTGGGTGGCCCTGTACAAGAACAACGTGCCCGCCACCTACACCTACGACGAGTACAAGAAAGGCTACCTGGACCAGGCCTCTGGCGGCGCTGTGCTCCAGCTGCGGCCCAACGACCAGGTGTGGGTGCAGATGCCCTCGGACCAGGCCAATGGCCTCTACTCCACCGAGTACATCCACTCCTCCTTTTCAGGGTTCTTGCTCTGCCCCACATAACCCACGGGCGCTGCTGCCCTGACCTCCTCCTCTTTAGTGGTAGAGAGAACTTCTCAGTTACAAAGAACCTGCATTTAAAGAAAAAACCAAAGGCTGAACAGAGGTGGGCACAGAGGCGGCCATGCCCTGGCCTTGGCCTCGGCCGGAGGAGACTGACTTGGTTTCTCCCTCCGTGCAGGCTGAGGTGGTTTCTGGAAGAGGCTGGCTTGAGCTCCTCCTCTCCCCCCAGTGTCTGTGCAGTGTCGGGGTTGGGACCCCATTCCTGCCCTGCCTGGGTGGTGAAACGCTGCTTCTCTGTGCATCAGAGCTGAGGGGACTGAGCTCCCCATCCATCCCCTCGGGGGGACATATTCCCAAGCCCTGCCCTTCCTGCTGCCCCCCAGATGGTACCTGCTCAAGGAAAGGGGCATGGCCTCTGTTATTGGCTGGGGCTCTTCCAGCTCCCTGGGACCTCCAGCATATGATGGTGGGTCCCCTGGAGAGTCTGTTTCCCTCCAGGGGTAAGGGAAGGAGGGGCCATTGGACCCCCTGCCAGGACTGCAATCCCAGGGCTGATGCTGTGGCATCAGGCATGTAGAGGTGTGGCCCCTTCTGCAGGCTCCTGGGAAGGGCCATACCCCTCTCACGGTGTCAGCCGCAGCCATGGGAAATGGTGGTTTGTGAGGGGTGGGGCATGGGCTGGGACAGGATGGCAAGCCTTCACATGCCTTTCCATCTCCTGGGCTGCCCCCACCAGCTCTGGCTCTGTTCAGCGAGAGGGCCGGTGCCCAGGGCCGGTGCCCAGGGCCGGTGCCCAGGCCCATAGGGAGGGGCACAGACAGTCCTTTCACCTCCTGGGGGGAGGGCTGATTTTCTCACAAAATTGTAAGGGATCCTTGCCACCACCCCCCCCCAACCCAAGTGACCCCAAAGCATAGCCTCTCGTTTAGCCCTCAGAACAAGGTGCACACAAGCTCAGGCATGAAGACTCCGCCTGCTTTTCCTTAATAAAAACCACATGTATGTGTGTGTCCACTAAAGGGGTTAATCTGCGGGGGCTTCCTCTCCTCCCACCTCTGGTTCCAATTTCCTGTTCTAAGCAGGATTAGGGCCCAGGAGGCTGAGGCTCTGGGAAAAGGGGTGCCAACAGGCCCCTTTGGAATGAGTTGGCTCTGGATGTTTCTGCCGTTTTCCCCAGTCAGAGCTCCCCTGCAGGAAACAGGCAGGATCCCGCCCCTCCCTTCAGCACTTAGTTCGAGCTGAGCGGGTAAAACTGGGATTCGTGCTGGGGCAGGGAAGGTGGACGCTTGCCCATGCAGGGGTAGCCACTCTCCCGGTGGCGTGGGGCCTCTCCATCAGCCCTCCCCAAGCCAGCCGCCCACCCCCCGCCCCCACAAGTGTGAGCCTGGGTCAGTCATCGTGACCTGGTTGCACTGCTGGGCCTGGCGGGGCCAGAACGTCCGTGTTGAGAACGGAGGGTGACGGCTGACTTTTGACTCGCTGAGCTGTGGCTCCCGCAGGCCCCTCACCAGTCCTCTTCCCACCAACGTCTCCCAACAAAGCCGACCATGTGACTGCTCATGCTAACTTTCAAAAGGAAAACCAAACCTGCCCAAGTGACACTTTAAGAACAGGTTTTGGTGGGGCTCACAGTGGGGTTCTCACTCCCCAACACCCAGGAGAGCCATCTCAAACCGGACCTGGTGGGCCTTCTGCTCAGCCCCTTCCTGGGTCACAGCCCCATCTGACCCGTTGGGGAGGGCTTCCCATGGGCAGAAATTCCACAGCTCCCAGTGAGAACCCAGGGCTCGAAGGAGGATGCGGGGGAGCCAAAAAGGCTGTTTCACAACAGAGTTCCTGCTAAAAGTCACTCCTGAAGCCTTTGAAAGGGGTGGCCGGTGCTTCGAAGTGTTATGTTCCAGGTGCTGTCTACTTAACCGGCTAGCTTTGATAAATGATGTCAGATTTTAACAATGAAAACTGCATTACCTTGTGCATTTTTATATTCTGATTCCTCACTTTTTTTAAGGTTAAGGTTTAAGTATTTTCCATTAGTAATTTCATTTCTAACCTGGTAGAAGCAGCTTAGTTCTCTACATACCTATTAAGTGCCCTGTGTCACAGAAGATTCAGAAAAAATGCACTTGGGAATCGAAGAAAATGGGACTTCTTTTTGAAAACAAAAACAACGGTATTGACTGTGTCAACACAGCCTCAATAAAACCTGTTGTGTAAAAACAGCACGTGCTGAGCCTGGCATTGGCGCAGAGGGGTCTCAGACTGGATTTCACCGGGCACCCAGGGAGCTTGCTCTGCCTCAGGGAGCTGCCAGCATGGCTTCTGTCACCACATCAGAAACGCTCCACGCTCTTAAGCTGCTGAGGTTGTGCAACAAGTAAAAGCCAAGAAGCATTTTAAGAAACCAAAGTAAGCAGTGGCTGGGGCTGGGGGAGACGGGTCGAGCTTCCCTGGAACATTCCTGCAAGCTCTCAGGGGTAGTGGAGCATGACAGCTGGCTCAGGACCCCAAGGGCCAAGTTTCAACATCTGATACAAATTATGAATGAAATCATGAAACTTTGCTCTTGTGGGCGGGGCTAGTGCCAGGCCCAGTGCTCATAGCAGGGCCGGTGGAGCTGTCCTGGGCAGAGAGCACCTGTCCCACAGCTCGCCATGCTTGGCAGCGAGGGATCTGTCCCAAGCTGTGGGGATTGGGATGGCATATCTGAGACCAATGCCTGCCCTGTGCTTTGCCCAGCCTGGCAGAGCACTCTCTTGGCTGAGAGCAGACCCACCCAGCAGTCCTGAAACCTCAGGCTAGCTGCAGAGGGCATGCTCCTCTCCTCCCGGGGCTGGAAGGATGCTCAGAGAACATCCCTGATGTTTGATGGAGGTGTCTCCTCCCTCTCCATTCCTTTCTTTGAAATGGCGAGTGTGCAGAACTTCCTAACAGGCGAGGCCTGTGCGTGGGGCCCAGGAGGCAGAATGAGGCACAGCTTTCAGCCCACCCAGAGCACCTGGGACGATGCACCTTCCCCACCCACAGGCTGGCAGTCCAGTGATAGGAGGTACCCTCCGCTTCCCCCTCCAGGGCTCAAGTTTTTGGCCTGGCTGGGCCGGGGTCTACCTGGGAGCAAACTATGAAGCCAGGCTTTGAGAGCAAGAAAATCTGGCTTGTTTCTGCCCCCTGCCAGGGTCATTCTGAGCGACCTCCAACAGGAAATGGCACCAAACCATGACTGCTCTGCCCGTCCTGGGTGAACACTGCAGGAATTGGCCTTGACAACCCAGCCGCTCGTCACCTTTGGGGTCCTAGCTCTTAGGAGAGCACAGCCCCAGAGAGGCCCTAGACACTAAAGGTCAAGGTGGGGGAGAATGCATTCAGGGCAGAGGAGAAACAGAGGAAACTGGTGGGATTTACCGAAAACTGTTTATTGCTCTGTGGCTTCCGCTGGAAGCTGTTAACAAGCCTGAGACAGCCCAGGGCCAGGTGTGTATGGAGATCAGATAGATTCAACTGCCTGTCTCCTGGATCCATGGAAACCTGCTGCTCTCAGTCCTGCCCAGTCAAAGACAGGCTTTCTGGCAAATTGACTAAATCCCAACGAGGAGAACGGATGCTACTGCAGACCATTTCCTCCCCATCCCATGTCCTAGATAATAAGGAAAATGCCACGTGTACCCGCCAATAAATCTGCCCTGCTTCCTCGTGTCTGAGGAGCCAGGGGAGCCCAAGGCTCTGCAGCAAGCCAGAAACCCAGCATGGGGAGGCCCCAGTCCCTCACTCCGTTCCAGTGACCTCCCCCGTGACTCCGGCCCCAGCAGTGCCTGTGCCCAAGCTGCAGGAAGACCGAGGCAGGGGGCAGAGCCCAAAGAAGCACAGGGTTTCCAGCCTGAGCTGTTGCTGGTCCCACTGGACATGGCGGGGCCCTCACAGACTCTTCTGGAAGACCCGGTGCAGGCTCTGGGCCAGGATGTCGGTCTCCTCATAGCCCTCACAGCTCTGCTGCCAGCTTTCTGTCACCTGTTCCATCCCATAGTAGGCGCCAGCAATGGCCCCAGCCATGGTGGCAATGGTGTCTGTGTCCCCACCCAGTGAGATGGAATAGATGAGAGTCCTTTGGAGGCTATTGAAGGTAGAGGGGATCTCGGGGTCGGGCTCCATGCAGCGCAGGAAGCAGTAGATGGCGGTGGGCACAGATTCAAAGGCGGCAATGCCGTTCCCTGTGGGGACACCAGATTATGGGGATTTGACACCCCCGCTCCCCACCTGTCCCTAGGGTTCCTGCCACTTGCCACAGTCAACACTCTCAGCTACAAGCTGGGCTGTGACTAAGGTCACAGGCTCTACAGGTAGACTACCTGGGCTCAAGTCCTCCTCCCCACCCCCTGGCTGGGTGACTGGGAAAGTTCCCTAATGACCATGGTTACTGCACCTCGGGTTTGACCCCTACAGAGTGAATCCGGTTGGGAACTCGCACAGGGCTCGCGTGAGGGTGAAAGGAGACAAACAGATAGCGCACTCTGCACAGTGCCCAGAACACAGTGAACGTGCTATTAACGCACCAATGGCTGGGAGCAGCGGCTGAGAACTGCGGCCAGCTGCCACTGCTGGGGACCTTTACCTGTGAGGACGGAGGAGCTGCAGCCCCAGAGCAAGAAGGCACTAAACTCACTCAAAACCTGCCAAGGACCCTGCAGAGCTGGCTCTGCTGTCACAGCAGCCCCGGGCAAAAATGTGATGGCAGGTCTGACTCCTTGCTCCCCTCCCATCCTGAGCCCAAGCCTGTCCCTAAGTATGATGGTGTGGGTGTGGGGACTACCCACCCAGCTCAGACACCACCTCCTCTCTGGTCACCACGTCCTGCTCTAGAAGCTCTCCAATCTTCTTCAGTCGGCTGGAGTACGGATGCTCCTCCATGCCCAACCTGTGGGTCCAGGCGGGGTGGGGGGGTGGGGGGGCAAGATTGCAGGGAGGTTGGAGCAAGGCATGGGGAAGGTTGTGAGGGAGGGAGAGTGTTATGAGGGAAGGGGAGGGTTGTGAGGGAAGGGGAGGGTTGTGAGGGAGGGGGAGGGTTGTGAGGGAGGGGGAGGCTGGACATGGTCAGGCTGACACCCAGGCCCAAGTGTCCTCACAAGTGGGAGGGGGCTGGGTGTGACCCTGAGCCTTGCTTGAAGCCCAGCCCCAGCCAAAGGACTCTCCCACCCCTCCCTCGGGTCTGCAGTTACAGAAGGAAGGGCTCAGCTGTGGCAACACCAGAGGAACCCACCCCCCAGGCATGCACACTCACAAACACACCTCCAGCCGCCTCCATGCCACATACTCACTCCCTGGCATCCGAGACGGACTGGGCATCACTCTCCAGCTCTTCCATGTGGCCCAGGAGTTGCTTGAGAAAGTGCTCACTGGACGACTCCCCCTGCAAAGCCAGATGCACAGCCAGGGCCTGCAGGATGGCACCGTTGTAGCCCAGGGAGGAGGCGTGTGTCAGCTGGGCCGAGAGCCGGGCGAACTAGGGCAAGGGCAGTGGAGGCTAAGACCTGTTGTCACAGAACCCAGAGAAGAGGGGGGTTGGGGGAGAGAGGGGACAGCCCAGAAGCCCGCTGCCCAGGCTACCTTCTGCACATCCTGGACGCTGCTATAGGCCAGGGAGATGCCAGCCACCCGCATGGCGCCCCCGTTGCCATAGGAGCCCTTCCCGTTGAACTGGGCCCGAGCAGGCTCATAGACGTCACGGCACTTGGGGCTCAGGAGCTTCTTGAAGACGGTGATTACTCCAGCTCCGTAACCCCGGTCAGGGTCTTTTTTGTACTCCTGAGCAAATCTAGGAATGGAAGGGACACGGGATGAGGCTTCACAGGTGCCTGTCAGGGTTGGGAGAGAAATCCGGCTGGTTGGGAGCTGAGGAAGCCCTGGGGACTGGGGAGCCTGTAACAGCAGTGAGGACATGTCTGGCTCCCGAAGCTGCAGTGGCCCTGCTGAGGGTGGGGGTCCCAGCATGCGTGGCTTCACTGCTCTGGTCCAGGGGTGCAGTAACTCGGCCCCCCTGGTTCGCCTCACCCCAGGACCATTCCGCTCACCTGTGAGCCATGTCTACCTCGTCGAAAGCCTCCTTGGACAGCAGCGACTGCACGAGGGCCCTGGACATGGCGGTGTCATCTGTGTAGTACAAAGCTTCTGCGGGGACAGGTCGGGGGAGGGAGGGCTGCAGAGCTCAAGGGCGGCAGCTTTGGCCTCCGCTCGTTCCCTTCATGCACCACTTCCAGATGCTCAAGTCAGCCGCTCCCTCCACCCAGCTTTCTGGGCTCCAGGTCGTGGGGTTTTCAGCAATTCTTTGTTCTGAGACAGTGACCATGTCCTGCTCTTTTCTGAAGGAAATCCTTCCACCCCCTTCTGGCTGCCATCACTGCAGCCTACTCTTTTTTTTAAAAAAAATTATTTAATATATTTTTCTTGATTTCAGAGAGGGAGAGGGAGAGAAACATCAATGATGAGAGAGAATCATTGACTGGCTGCCTCCTTCCCGCCCCTCACTGGGGATCGAGCCCGCAACCCGGGCATGTGCCCTTGACCAGAATCGAACCTGGACCTTTCAGTCCACAGGCTGACACTCTATCCACTGAGTCAAACTGGCTAGGGCAGTGATACTCTTTTTCCCCCCTATTAATTTATTTTATTTCTATTTTATTTTTTATTGATTTGAGAGAGAGCAATTTGTTGTTCCACTTATTGATGCATCCACTGGTTGATTCTTGTATGTGCCCTGACCGGGGATCGAACTGCAACCTTGGTGTGTCAGACTGACACTGGGCTACCCGGCCAGGGCCTGCAGCTCTAGTCTTAATACGACCTGCTTGGGCCTCTCACATTTCCTGCACATTTCCCACCCTGCAACCCATCCTACATGTGCAGCCAGATACTTCTTCCTAATACTAGACTGTCACTTTCCTTATCTCACTCTCCTGCTCAAAATGGCTATTGGCTGCCTTCAGGATGAGGCCCAAAGTCACTGCTGTGGCATTCAAAGCCCTTCCCTCCTCACTCATCTTGTCCCACCATTCCCCTACATGTTCCCAGGATCAGTCTTGGAGCCTGGGTCAAATCCATCCCGGCTGGGACTGCTCCCCTCCCTCCTCCCACCCTCACTCCCTCCTCTGGGTGCCCAGGAGTCCTGCTCTGGCATTTTCAACACAGCACCATTGTTTATGTGGTGACTTAGCAAATAGGCCAAAAAGGGGCTAGGGCTAGGGACTTGGTTTCATTTGAAGAATTGGTTACAGCCCGGCCGGCGTGGCTCAATGGTTGAGCATCAACCTAAGAACCAGGAGGTCGAGGTTCGATTCCCAGTCAGGGCACATGCCTGGGGTTGAGGGCTCAATCCCCAGGATGGGGCGTGCAGGAGGCAGCCGATCAATGATTCTCTCATCATTAATGTTTCTCTCTCTTCCCTTCCTCTCTGAAATCAATAAAAAAATATAAAAACAAAACAAAAAAACGGTCCCTACACCTTGTCTTCACCTCATCTCTCTCCTTCCCTTTGTAGCAAATTACTCTATTTTCTCATTTTCCATTTCCTCCTAAACCCACTGGAATCTAACTTCCAGGCTTCAACCTTCTACTGAAAATGCTTTTCTAAATCCAGACTTCCCTCGCCTTCCGTCTCTGTGACCAGCATCTTCACCTTGAAATGTTCTCAGGTTTTGTTGATACCCATGCCCCCTACTTTTCCCATCAAACTGCTTCTCTAGCCCCTTTCCTTGCTGTACGGCATGTTCTCCAGGAAGAATCACCCACTGCTTGACCTCAGCCGTGATCCTGAGCTGAGAGCTGGATGAGGAGCTGACTGCACAGGGAGCGGGAGGCTGGGCCGTGGGGGCGCCTGGACTAGAAGCGAGGGGCGCCGCCGGCACAGACCGGGCTAAAGGGGGCAGATGTGCGAGGAGCGCAGCACAGACCGGGCTAAAGGGGGCAGATGTGCGAAGCCGGCACAGACCGGGCTAAAGGGGGCAGATGTGCGAGGCCGGCACAGACCGGGCTAAAGGGGGCAGATGTGCGCCGCCGGCACAGACCGGGCTAAACGGGGCAGATGTGCGAGGAGCGCAGCCCAGGAGGCAGGTGCGGCGGTGTCAGATGAAACGAGACGGGCACGCTGAGGATTGAGCTCTATCCTACGGGCAACAGAAAACCACTGCAGAGCTTCCTGCGAGGAGGCCGCCATAGGTCTCCGTTTTGGGACGAGCACTCGCCGCGGTGTGGACAGTGGATTGGGGCGCACTGGTTTCAGGCAGCTGGGTCGCGGCAGGAAACATAGAGAGGGTGTCCGTGCCGGACCAGCGCGACTCGGGGTTCCGGCGGGCGCGCCGCGGAGGACGGTGCTGCCACGCCCGAGTCGGGAGAGGTTCGGGCGAGAGGCGTGCGGACGGAGCTCGGCTTTAGCCAGGCTGAGCCCGAGGTGCCCGCGCGGGCCGTGCCAGTCCCAGGTCCGCCCTGCGGAGCCGCATCTCCCCACACGCCCTCTCCCGGCCGCGCTTCCACCGCCCCGCGTCCCTCCGGGAGCCCCGCCGCCCGAGTCCCCGAAGCGCCCGGCCCCGCCCACCTGTCCGCGCGCTGCCCGCCGAGCCGGGGTCGGGCTCCAGGCTCTGGACGTGACGCAGCACTGACGTCAGGCTGACGGTGTCCTGCGCCTCGTAGATGGCGCCCACGCAGTCCCCGAGCAGCGCGCCCGCCAGGCAACCTCGGAAGCGGGAGAGGGAGCGGGCCGCCCCAGCCCCTCCGCAGCTCGCTGCAGCCATCGCCGCCGCCGCCGCCATCCGCACGGGCCCGCCACCACTTCCGGTGCGGCCCGCGCGCGCGCGCGCCTCCCCGCCCTTCCCCCCACCCCGGCTGCTTCGCGCCCCAGCCCCACAGCGCCCCCTCGTGGCCCTGAGTCGCGGTGCCTCTTGAGACCCACAGCGCCACCCAGCGGCCCGGAGGTGCAGCTCCGCGTGCGTGGGACCAGGTTAGGTCCTGCAACGCTGGTTGGAGCCCACCAGGCCTCTGCTTTTAGGCCTCGTTCTCCCCATCTGTAAACGGTGTCACGCCGGGCGGGACGGCCACTAAAGAGTCCAGGAGGGGACTATCGGACCGCGGTAGCCCTGCCCTTCAGGCCACTGCCACCCGGGTCCTCCCTTTATGAAGCTTCTTTCTTTGCCCCGTCACCGCAGCTCTCCAACGACGGCAGCCCCAGTTCTTGGTCCCCGACTCCCACTGTGATCATAGCCTTCTCTGGGCCTTCCCTAGGCAACAAGAGGGCAGCTAAGGGTCCTGCTGGGGTTGGGCTGGTTCGAAATCATTGGAGCCACTGGAGCCCAGGGGGTGCTGGCCTACCCCTGAGAGGGGTCCCTAAAGAGGGAGAAGGAATAGGATTTGGAACATGGAGCTTGGGGGATGATGGTCCCCGTTTATGCCTCTCCATTCACAGGAGGGCCAAGAACCTTCTCACTTTCCGCTGGCTGCATGCAGGGGTAGCAGAAAACCTTCTAGAAGACTGAGAAACCCAACATTTATTAGATTCATTCTCTCCACCCCCTTCCTCTTCCATTTCCCTCCTAACCTCCCCCTCCCTCCTCAGCCTCCAAGGCTAGGCTAGCTGCAGCTGGCAGCTTTTGAGTGGACTCAGGATACGGTTTGTGGTGCGGTTGAAGGTGTCCACCTCGGGCACAAACTTCTCGGCTGGCACCGTCAGCTTCCGGCGAGTGTCCATGCACTTGGTGTCCAACAGCATGGAGTTGGCCTTGCAGGCGATGTCAGCCTGCAGCCGGGCCAGGTGCTTGTACAGGGCATCCAGAGCATCCCTGGGGAGGAGGCATTAACAACCCACCACCCCTGCATGAGGCAGAAGGTGAAGGAAGCCAGCGGGGAAGCCAGCAGGCAGCAAGAGGCCCCATGGGTGAGAGGTGTCTCCCTGCCCCTCTGGTCCACTCCCCAAACCTACTGTGCTTGTGCCAACTTCTGCCTCAGGGCAGCAATGGTTGCCTCTAACTGGTGAACCTCGTCGGTGAGGCCATACTGTGCCTGGAAGAAGAGGTGAGGATTGGGAATCAGCCATACTAGCCTTTAGCCCATGGGCCTGGGCACCCCTGCTACACCAGGAATATGTGCTGGGGAGTGAGTGATCCTGAGGAGACTTTAGCGGGAGGGGAGGGGGCAGTGCCCCACTGGGGTACCCTCCCACCTGGTCCCGGCAGAGTTCCACATTGGGCCTGTAGGTTCTGGACTCAAGCCGAGTATGGCATAGCTTCAGATTCAGGAACTTCCTGTGCAGATCTTCCTCCAGGTGCCGCATGTCCTCCTGCAGGTCAGCGATCTCCTGCAAGGTCTACAGGGGACAGAGTGAGTGGTCTCCAGTTGCTAGACCCACCACGGTGCACCCAGGAAGTCCAAGCCCAGGAGACTAATGAGAAGGCTCACATTCTTCTCTTGCCACTTGAGCTCACTGTATAATTTCTCCATCTCCCGCAGCCGCTTTCTGAAGGCAAATTCCGTTGCCACCCTCTGGGCTTCAAGTTCATTGTTGGTCTGAAGGACAAGATGTGGGCCGGGCAAGACAGGGTATAAGTTCATGACCATCTTAAGGATGTTCCTCAAGTGAAGGGTTGGGATGCCAATGGCCAACAGGGAACAAAAGCTAAAGGCTTGCCCCAGCCGGTTTGGCTCAGTGGATAGAGCATCGGCCTGCGGACTAACGGGTCTTGAGTTCAATTCCGGTCAAGGGCACATGCCCGGGTTGTGGGCTCGATCCCCAGTAGGGGGCATGCAGGAGGCAGCCAATCAATGATTCTCTCTCATCATTAATGTTTCTATCTCTCTCTCCCTCTCCCTTCCTCTCTGAAATTAATTAATTATATATATATATACATATATATATATATATATATATATATATATTTTTTTTTTTTTTTTTAAAGCTAAAGACTTGAGTGCCTACTTGGGCCATCCATTAGCCATGGAAGAGCAGGGTCAGGGGGGTGGTCAGTTACCTCAGCAATAGTGAGGGCGATGGCCTCCCTCAGGTCTGTGGCTGCTTTCATCTCAGCCTCTGCCCGGTTCTTGTTGAACCGACTAAATTCATCCCACTCTTGAAGTGATGAGGAGCTGCAGGTGGCAGGAGATACAGGGGTCATAAGAGTAGGGCCACTGTGGGGTGAGGGGAGGAGAGACTGAAACACTTCTTACCCATCGGGGACACGCGCGGGATTAATCTTCAGAGAGATGTTTGGGGACTTGAGGTTGAGAGAGAGGCAACCTCTGTCAATGTCCAATGTCTCCATTTTGCCCCGATGGTCAGAGTTGAGCTGCTGTCGGATATCCTGCAGGAGGCTGGGGCAGGAACAGACTAGCTCAAGCTCCATCCCTCCGTGGCCCCAAGGACTTAGCACCCATTGTGCTCCAGGGCCCCCGAGGGATGGGAGGCTGGAGTGACAATGGAGCTGCTGCCTGCAGCTGAGACAAAGCCCAGCATAGTTGGATAAGCTCCTCACAGACAAAATTATGACCCTCACGTGCTCACACACAACCACAAGGGCACACGCATTAGTTACACTCACAAAGGCTCACACATACACACAATAGGGTACTCAGTCAGGGGTGGTGGTAAATGGGCTCCATCTCCCATGCTTCCCATCAATCGACAATGGCTCCCTAGAGCAGTCTTCTGGGACCGTGTGGAGGCAGAGGAAAAAGTGGTATCATCGGTTAGTGGTGTTGGCCATGGGCACAGCAGGGACCGAAGGCAGCCGGAGAGCCAGCTGCCGGTCATCCACAGTACAAATATTCTACTTAGGACACACAGCCTTCAAGTGCAGGTGAGCTTGAGAATGACGCCTCTCCCTTACCAGAGCTTCTCAAACGTCTGGCTGATCTTCTGTTGCAAGGCCTTCTTGGTGGCATCAATGACTTCCACCTCTTTGTGCAGCTCTTCCTCCACAGGGTCCCTCACCACGTCAACGTCCCGCCGGCTATCCCGCAGGGTCAGGCACTGGATTGCCACATCCAGGGGCAGGTTCTTGGCCTGCAGGTTTTTCTCTGCTGACTCTTTCATCTGGAACAGAGAAGGCACAGGAGGCTGCTGGGCCATTCCCCGAGAAGCACGCTCACTCCCACATTAATAGAGGGGCCAATGAGTGACTCAGGTAGACAGGTCACTCCATACCCCATGAAGGGTTCCCTGACCTCCAAGTAGGGAGGGAGGGGAGGTCCTTGCGGCAGGGTCTCCTGGCACCCTGCCCTAGCTCCCTGCCTGTGTCAGGGCGTCGATCTCTGCATCTAAATCTGTCAGACACTTGTCCAGCATCTCCTTCCATCGGTTGACTGTATCAACTCTCTCTTCTAGTCGAGTCCTATTGTCGTGTTCATCCCAAATGGTCTGGAAGAGACAGAGTCAGATAAAGAGGGTGTTTGGGGACAGGGGCTATCCCTTTGCCCACCTGAGCTCCCGCTCCCAACCTGGTTGTTGGTCTCATTGCGGAGGATCCGGGCCTCCTGGCGGATCTGGTGTGAGGCATTTCGCTGCCGCTCAGCGTTGGTGGACAGCAGGTAGCTGTTGGTATGCCAGTCCTGCAACTGGAAGCGTTGGCTGGGCTTGACGCTCAGCATGGCCATGGTGCTGAGCCCCTAGGCCTGTTCCAAGACACCCACCTCTGCTGGAGAGGACAAGCAAGGCTGCGGGAGACAAGACGGTTCAGTCAGTCCTCTCCTAGATCAAAAGCTCCCTCCAAGGGACTCTTTCTGCCTCCCCACGTGGGAGTCTGTACTTGTTCTTCAATAAATTTCCACCTTTGCTATAAAATAAAAAAACTCCCCCCAAAGGACCTGCTCCTGTCCATTTTGCTCCCAAACCCTTGCTGCAGAAAGCCTGCTTGGGAGCAGCTCTCGATTTGCTCAGCTTTGAGGTATTAACTAAGTTTTCTCCCACCCATCCATCCACAGACACACACTCCTGGACCCTGCAGGTCCTGGAGGGTGTGTGTGCTGCCAAGTGCTTAGTGGGGCTGGTGGGTGGGTGGGGTTTAGCAGGAATAATAGTCCTTAATCCAGTTTCCACCCCTACTTCCGGCAATCAAGTCCCGTGGCGCTTTCTTTTCTTCCCCCGCCCCAGCTGTGCTCAGGCCCTGCACGGGTTCTAAGAAAACGAGCCCTGTTCACCATCCAGAGAGGGAGGGCTAGTTTTGCAAGGGATGTGGGCTGGCACAGGGGAGTTGTTGTTGTTGTTTTTTGGAGTGGGTATGCGCTGGTCCCCTCCCCACCTGATCATCATACTCCCTCCCTCAGCCCCTGTTGGAGGAGGAGCAGCCGGGCTCTGTCTAGCTCCCAGGCGCACCCCACCACTCCCTTCCCCAGGATAATCCTTTTGGGTTTAAATTAATACCCCCGGCGGCCGCAGAGAAAGAAGGAGGAGGGAGAAAGGGAGGAAGCTTGAGCCTGGGTGAGAGTCCTCAGAGTGCCCCAGCTCCCCTAGCCTCTCACCTCCTTCCCAGCTCAGACTTCCGCCAGCTCCTCTGTTGCGCACCCCGGTTGCTAGGCACCCGCCTGTCAGCGCGCTGGTAACCGCCACTCTCTTGTTTATCTTGGCAACCGCCGCGGGGCTGGGGCGAAGGGGCCCAAGGCGGCTGGCGGGCTGCGGCTGTAGGAGCGGGCGCAAGGAGCAGGGCAGCAGGATATGGCGTTCATTTCCTTTACAAGTTAAACGTTTTAATTTTGATCAAAGTTATGCATCGACATGATAAGACATACGTACATCTCCCGCTCAGGCGCATTCCCCAGTAGCCATCCTTCCAGAAATGTAAATATATTTGACTTTATTTACACGCATTCCTTTGGTCCTGTCTTGTCCAACATTTTCATTCATCTGCCTGACGGCATGCAGCGGTTCTCAACCTGTGGGTCGCGACCCCTGAAAAATACATCCTGCATATCAGATATTTACATTACGATTCATAACAGTAGCAAAATTACAGTTATGAAGTAGCAACGAAAATAATTTTTGGTTGGGGGATCACCACAACATGAGGAACTGTGTTAAAGGGTAGAGGGAGTGGTAATCGTATTTGGAGAGGGCACATGCCTGGAATATTAGAAGCAATGTTCAAAATCCGATCATTTAAAAAAGAGAAGGAAAATAATTCAACCGTGCCAGTATTGTTCTAGGGCTTGGGAAATGTTAACGTTTAATGTTCATAACTATTACATGAGGTAAGCGTTATCTCCATTTCCACAGGTGTCTGAAAAGACTGGCCTTGCTAAAAGGCAGGGATGTCAGCGCGGTGAGTCTGGTTCCCAGGTCCATGTCCTCTGCGTTACGACTCCACACTGCCTCTAGTGGTGGCGCGGGAAATCGAGAGGAAGGCCGGGATGAGATTTCCATCCTTGGTCCTCCTCTGGGGGCTGTGCAGAACAGCCTTAGGAAAGGCGTGCTGTTACCTTGTCCGTCTTACAGGCAGGAAAATTGAGGCATAGAGAAGTGAGGAACGTTCCCAAGGTCACATAGCTAAGTGGAGAGTCTGTCTCAGAGGCCAAGTTCAGGTTTGATGGATGAGGGAAAGAGAGGAGTCCAAGAAGAGTCCTCAGTTTTAAGACCTCAGTGATTGGTGGGATTGTGTTAGCCTTCCGCAAAAGGAGGAGGGCTTGGTCGCCAAGGGGAGGAGAAAGCTGGCTTTTGGGAAGTTTGAGATGCTTGTGGTAAATCCAGGTGCTGTCCAGAAATGCGAGTCTGCAGAAAGACGAAGGCTAGAACATTTTCCAAACCTCTTTCACCACAGAATATTTTCTCCCCCATAGGATATTTTATAAATTCTAATATATGGCTCATAAACCAGACATACATGGGAATTTGTGATATAGCTTTTTAACTAGGATTAAAGACAAGAAAGAAAAAACAACCTACCATCTCGGAGATTATTTGCTGGAAGAAATGATCAAATTTTGGCTTATATGGTTTGAAACATAACAGAAAGAAGGAAACAACTATGGCAGAACGGTGATGGCTTTGGTGTATGTCTCTGACTGGTGATGCCCTTGGTGTTCATGACTCACGAGGTTCCACACATCCTGGCCAAGGGAAGAAGATATTAGCAGAAAAGTTCAGGCGGCTGATGAATTGGAGCAAGAGAAACAGAGTGATACAAATGAGTAAAGCTGTGTTCTATTATTTTGCAAGAAACTATTATTGTAATGTTTGCTGCTGTCCAGAAGGTTAGAACATGTATAATATGCAAACACGCTGCTGAAGAAGTTTAGATCTCGGCATATACCTGGCCGCACTCCAGTGCATTCACTAGGAAGGTGGATTTTGCTATGGTGGATTAGGATGAAACCCCCGAGGCCCTTCAGACACTCCAGTTGATATCAGTTTCAAGTTTCCACTATTTTTCTGCTAAAATGAAATTTAGAAAAGATGACATCTACCATTTGGAAGAAAGGGGTCTCATAGCTGGGCAAATGGCCAAATTGGTAGCTGAGAACAGAGGGAAGGAAGGTCAACATTAGAATTAGACAACCTACAAATTATCCCAATCCCTTCCAGTTGGGGATTTTTTGGTTCTTATTGGTGGACCTGTGTATTTATTGAACTGGAATGGGAAATTTATTTTTAACAATTTGTGGGCAGTTTTAGCTCAGTGTTTTGTGATCATGATGACATCTGGTCAAATGTGGACTCATAAAAGGAGCCCCATAGCCCAGCCATTGTGGCTCAGTGGTTGAGCGTCAACCCAGGAACCAAGATCATGGTTTAATTCCCAGTCAGGCCACATGCCTAGGCTGTGGGCTCAATTCCCAGTAGGGGGTGTGCAGGAGGCAGCCAATCAATGATTCTCTCTCATCTTTGATGTTTATATCTTTCTCCCTCTCCCTTCTTCTCTGAAAAAAAAACAAACCAAAACATGTATATTAATATATATATATATATATATATATCTTCAAGGAGTGAGTTACTGTCAGTTTGTAGCAGAAATATACATCATCTCTCTGTTTAATATATGCAGTACCCTGGGAGTGGTGCTCTTAGATAAAGCAGTCATATCTTATATGAATATTTAAGGAAGGAGTTGCAATATCCTTCAGTTGGCTGTTCCCCCTCTTCATATTTGAAGTACCTGAGTATTCATTCAGCGTCCTCATGGACTAAAAAGGATCTTAGAGATATAAACAAAGAAGCAGGAAAAAATTTAAAATGGAAAAAAAAGTGAAACAAAAATGTGAACTTAAAATTTTTAAAGTGATTTAGATTTAGCCAAAGAAGACATGAAATGCCTTTGTTGAAAGTCATGTTCTCTCAAAGTCTGTGCAGTCTTATGGTATGTATCTTCTCTGTTCTTCTCAATTTTCTCCAGGTAAATGTCATATATTACCTAATATAGCGAATTCCACTGATTAAAATAATCAGAATACAACTTTTATCAAATTAGAACAATGTTTAGCCCTGGCTGGTGTGCTCAGTTGGTTGGGTGTTGTCCTGTGTACCAAAAAGTTCGATTCCCAGTCAGGGCACAAGCCTGGGTTTTTGGCTAGATCCCTGGTAGTGAGCATGCAGAAGGCAGCCAATTGAGGTTCACATTGATGTTTCTCTCTCTCTCTCTCTCTCTCTCTCTCTGTCTCTCTCTCTCTCTCTCTCTCTCTCTCCCCTCTCCCTTCCTGTATCTCTAAAAATCAATAAACTAGCCCTACCTGGTTTGGCTCGGTGGATAGAGTATTGGCCGGATGCCTGAAAGGTCGCAGGTTCGATTCTGGTCCAGGGCACGTGCCAGGGTTTTGGGTTTGGTCCCAGGTAGGGAGCATGCAGGAGGCAGCCAATCAATGATTCTCTCTCATCATTGATGTTTCTATCTTTCTCTCTCCCTTCCTCTCTGAAATCAATAAAAACATATTAAAACTTTTTTTAAAAAAGAAATCATTAAAAAATAAATAAAAATCAATAAACTATTTTAAAAAGCACGTTACTTAAAACTTGGTCAGCTGATTTTATTCTAATATGAAAAATAATATCTTGTTAAGGTACTTACTGAAGAGAACCTTTCCTGGAGGTGTATATTTGCACCTATTTTGTGTGTTTTCCTCGGAAGTTTAAGTATCTTTCTTTAGGTTGCACTTCCAATGCCTAGAGGCAAATACAGTACTTAGTACTCCATCTCCCAAGTCTTTCCTACTGAAATGTGCTACTATGCTTCTTGATCGTTACAGATGTTATAAACTAACTGACTACTGGATTATGATTTATACATGATTGTTAACTACCTTCTATCAGGATTCATTTCAGATAAGTTATCTTTTTTTCTTTCAAGTGGCCAATCTCTAACAAATAGTTACTATTTTGATGTTGCATTGAGGTCATTTTCTATTTTATTTATTTACTTTTATTTATTATTATTTTATTAAATATATTGGGGTGACATTGGTCAACACAATTTTCTATTTAATTTAAATCTAAGAGAAAAATAGATATAAAGACAATTCAGAGGATGAATAATCATTTTATTCACCCTTTTCTGTTTAGAAGCATGTTAAAATATCATTATTTCCAATATGCAGAAATGCAACACTGAACATCTTAAAAGCTGTTCTTTTCAGCCCTTCTTCCCTCTTAAGTGGAAAAATAACGATATAAATTTGACTATTTTTTTCCTCCTTTATCTTCTTTCTGTCATATGTAGATCATTGAAGTTAAATTCTAAACAGCTTACTTACTAACATGCTTGGCAAATGACAGACAAGATTTAAGTTGTGGTTTACTATTAAGCCACATTTTGGCCTTTCCTCTGGAAATTGCTATTTTACAAATGTGAGAACTGTGACTGTGAAAACGGTTTTCAAGCAACAACAATAGTGTCACATTAGAAGAATTCTGGTTTAAATCAGGTCTGGCTTTGGCTATTTACAGTCAAGTAACCCTCCCCCAAGGTAGAGTGGAAGATCTTTTTTTAAAATTTAATCTTTATTGTTCAGATTATTACAGTTGTTCCTCTTTTTTCCCCCCATAGCTCCTCTCCACCCGGTTCCCACCCCACCCTCTGCTCTTACTCCCCTGCAACTGTCCTCATCCATAGGTGCACGATTTTTGTCCAGTCTCTTCCCCCATCTCCCACACCCCTTTCCCTCCGAGAATTGTCAGTCCACTCCCTTTCTATGCCCCTGATTCTATTATATTCACCAGTTTATTCTGTTCATCAGATTATTTATTCACTTGATTTTTAGATTCACTTGTTGATATGTATTTGTTGTTATAATTTTTATCTTTACCTTTCTTCTTCTTCCTCTTAAAGGATACCTTTCAGCATTTCATATAATACTGGTTTGGTAGTGGTGAACTCCTTTAGCTTTTTCTTATCTGTGAAGCTCTTTGTCTGACCTTCAATTCTAAATGATAGCTTTGCTGGATAAAGTAATCTTGGTTATAGGTTCTTGGTATTCATCACTTTGAATATTTCTTGCCACTCCCTTCTGGCCTGCAAAGTTTCTGTTGAGAAATCAGCTGACAGTCATATGGGTACTCCCTTGTAGGTAACTAACTGTTTTTCTCTTGCTGCTTTTAAGATTCTCTCTTTGTCTTTTGGCCTTGGCATTTTAATTATGATGTGTCTTGGTGTGGTCCTCTTTGGATTCCTTTTGTTTGGGGTTCTCTGTGCTTCCTGAACTTGTAAGTCTATTTCTGTCACCAGATAGGGGAAGTTTTCCGTCATTATTTCTTCAAATAGGTTTTCAATATCTTGCTCTCTCTCTTATTCTGGCACCCC